TGTGTGTATGTGTGTGTGTGTGTGTGTGTGTGTGCGCGCGCGCGTGCGGTCAGGAAACGAGGATGTGACAATGTGAAAGAAAATGTGGCATGCCTGGAAGACAAAACAAAAAAAAGGGGCGAAACATTCACCACAATTCTTGATTTTAATACCGCTTGGAATGTTGTCGTTGTCTTGGAACCTGTCAGCAGTGCACAGCAGCGATGTCGAGTCGACGGGAGGGAGAGGGGGGACGGGGGCGGGGGGAGTGTGAAAGGAACTCATGAATTTCACACCGAACGCGCATGCTCCATCTGCGATAGGTATTAAGTGACATCACTTTGTATTTCTCGGACGTAGTTGCAATGGATGGTGCGAGTCACGTGTGTGACTGTGGGCGGCCTTTCATGTCATTACGGACGACGAACTCACACCGAGCTCGGGCATGTCCATCCGTTGTGGAAGACAGGAGGACGGCATAAGAGATAGTTGGGGGGGGTATCGGTGGACCGTCAAATAGTGGTCCTATTAATCTGGTCAGTGGGGAAAGCGAGGAGGTTGACCCCCCTCCCGATGTAAAAGCAGACTGCGCATCCGAAGAACAGCAACAACAACACACAGAGCCATTCGACAGCTCCCGCAAACTTGCGGCACTGATTTTCTCATGTAGGGGCGGTGTGGGCATGTCCCAAACTGACGTTGAMTGTCTGTTGTCACTCCTCAAGAATCCTAGATTCGACCCAAGAGATATCGCATTTCGTAACAGTCGYGAGTGTCTGACATGGGGAAGCCGCCAGGCTGAGGCTGCAGGGTGGCAAGAGATCAATCTACACACTGATGATTGGCCAGAAGAAGCGCACGCCATTTTGTGGTACCGCAACTGGCGCACAACGTTCGCTGACCTTGTATGTGCTACACTGCACAACGTTGAAACGGTTTCTTGCCTCGAAATAGAACCTCCCGGGGAGGGGATGGACATATGTGGCTCTCGCACAGGCCAGTTGAGCCACCATGTCCAAACTGTTATCAGAGCGGACAAGGGTGTGGACACGAATGGTAAAACACGTTATGTCATCCCTCTGTCTCTGTATTCAGACAAGACTCATGTAGACGGTCGTCAAAAGCAGTCAGCGTATCCTCTGATGATGTCAATAGCCGATCGCGTATAAAACGCCACACTCCTTGCGTATCTTCCTGTGCTTCAACATCAACCACGTGACAAGGGCTGGGGTCTGCACTCCACCGCGTTTAGAAAATAGAAAGCGGTGATATTGCATAAAGCGTTGTCAACAGTATTGCGGTCCGCAAAGGAGGCATCCCATAACAGCATGATAGTTACAACAGAGCGGTTCGGCGAGATAACAGTCCACCCTTTCGTCATGAACTATATACAGGACTATCCCGAAAGGTGTGCCCTTGCAACTGTGAAATTCGGTGTTTGTCCAACATGCACAGTGTCCAAAGACAATTTCGATGTCATCGCCGATTTCAGCAACTGCAGGAGGTCGCAGACGCTAGAGACGCAACTTGCTGCGAACTGCTTCAATAATGGGGACAATGATATTCGCCGTGCCGCAGAGGCACGAATGTCAGAATTGAACATGCATAAGCATGTTCAAGAGAACGGCCTTTGGGGATTCTATAGGGGTCCGAATGGTGACGATCCTCAAGTAGATTACCATCTCGCTTTGCAACCGGACCGTATGCACACCATTGAACACGGTATTGTCTTGCATATGATAGATGCATTCAAGGCAGCAGCTTATAAGAAGTTGCTGGATATCGCGCAAACCGAGATATTGCACGAGATGGATGCGAGGTTGCAGAGCATCAGTGAGAGATGTGTGGGGACATACCCGCAACTCGTGTTGCCCTTGGCCACAGGTTGTGATTTCTTTTCAAGGGAAGGACGTTTTGAAGCGAAGCAAAATCGGTCTGTTATGACAGTTTGCGTGTTTATCATTTGTAATATCATCTCACGTGCGACAGGCAAATCCATTTGCGCTTGTTTAATCAAACTCATGGATATGTACATACACGTGTTTCGTAAGTCGACCCACACTGCAACTTCTCTCGATGTATGTGACACATTGATAGGTGATTTCATAACGAGTATAAAAACGAAGATGGAAAAATATCAAACCTCGGATTGGAAAATTCCGAAGTTGCACGACCTTATGCATCTGAGAACATGCATAGAGCGATTCGGTGTCCCCGACACCTTCGCGGTTGATGTGTGGGAGCATCATCATCAGAGGTTCTGCAAATAGCTATATCTGGCATCGAACAAGCGCAAGGCTGCTTCCCAGATGGTGAATCATGTCCAACGCTCATTGGCTTTGCAAGATGAGATGGAGATTGTGAGAAAACGAAGAAAGAGGTCGACAGAAAATTGGTCATCCGTGACAGACTGCATGGCCACTGGAATTAATGCCCTCGCTGCGCGCGATACAGCAACTCTACAACTCCGGTGGTTCCAGATGGACGGTGTGCATTTGCCGGAGGTGGAGGGTATAAGCAACGTGGCGTTGAGAATATTTAACTAGCTTTCCTGCAGAGAGGATTTTCGAGCTGCGCTCACGACGTTCATGACGGAGAACGACTGTCAACCTCCATCTGATGACCAAGTGATACACTGTCGAACACACTTGACTATCGCCGCCACACACGACGGGACGCACAGGGGCGCAGGCGTTCAAACGGCAAGAGCTTCACCACAGTTCCAAGGGAGAGCCATGCACAACAATGTTGCAGTGAGAAGCGGGAATGACAACATATGGTATGCATCGGTAGCCATGTTTTTCGTCATGAACACTTGCACAGGGGGTATCGCGGAGATGCAGAAGTGTTGTTTTGTGCAATAGTACAAAGAGGTGGATAGCGAAAGGGAACACACAACAGGTTGTAAAAAGTTGCAATGGGAGAAGGTAAACGGTCGTCAGCACAGTAGCGTCATAACGATTGACACCATCATCGAGACCTTTCACATTGTTTCTCGTTTTTGTAAACCACAGTGGGGCTCGAAGAAGCATGCAAAAGAGAGGGAGGACATTTTTTTGTTGAATAGATATATACTCTAGAAGTGTACATGGAAATAGAAAAAAACAAAAAAAACAAAATTTCAAAGGCTGAACGTTTTTTCGAGAATAATCTGTGGTGGGTGCAGTCGCAATTTTATACTACAACAGGGGTCTTTCTTTTGTATTTCTTTTACACAGAGAGAGAGAGGTTTGAACGACAATAGTAATTTCGTAAAGATGAAGTTCAAATATCCGTAGATTTTTAAAGCGGCGAGACTGTATTTCAGACCGGCACGATCGTCCAAGATGGAACAACACGGTTGTTAGACTGTTTTTTTCGCACGGACAAGGATGTGTTACACCGTTACATAGCAGTATGTATGACGAAGGTATGACGAAGGTAACTTCAGAGTTGGCTACTGCATATGACTATGTCATCTTACACAGCAATGTAGAGAAAGGTGCATCAAAGCGGTGTGTATGACGAAGGTAACTTCAGAGTTGACTACTGCGTGCACATGTATGGTGAACGTGGACTTAAGAAGTGGCAGGTGGCACGCACTGGCCAACCTATGTCGATACTTGTGTTCGACAAAAGGTCTTGACGTCACAGGAAACCGTCATTCTGCCTCTCTCTCTTTCTCTCTCTCTCTCTCTCTAACATACACACACACACACACACACACACACATATTGTCGAAATACTAACCAACCTGCTGTGTAATTGACAAGATGTGGTTCATGACCATGTGACTGCCATGTGGACAGGAAATGTTGAGGTCGAGGTAACGCCGGAATGACACTCTACACTGGAAGAAGTGCCAAGACAGCGAGCGAAAAAAATAAGCGTTTTCAGGAATTGTGGAGAAGCCGATTTAGACTGACACTTCAACCTCAGTCCATCAGTCGTGGCATCTGTTGTATGACGGGGAATGAGGGGTGTTCAGATGAGCGAATCTTACAAAATGAACGAGGGGGTAGATGGCAAGGGTTGTATCATGGGCTCAAAAGCGACGGAGAGTTCAGAAACAACAAGGAATGACGAATAGTCATGTGGACCAAGTGTCAACGAGCCGTTGCTCCGTTGAGTAGTGAGAGATCAGTGAAGCGATGGAATAGGATACTGGAAGACCCGTGGTATGCAGAAATGTACCAGATGATGACCACAGATGACGTCCAATATCCTCAGATGGCGCATGAACCTTTGTTCGGTATTGCAGGGGGCAATCGGTCAAGAGGTATGATTGCAGAGGCAGGAAAGAGGTCCGAGAGGGTGGACGAGGAACACTTGTTCCCGTTCACGTGGACATCAAGAAGACACGCCATAGCGATAACGAAACGGGACGTATTGCGATTGGGTGCGCAGCAGTGGCTGAACGACGACGTGATCGATATGTACTTACAGTCCGTCTATGAAGAACATTTCCCTGCACAGGACAACACGACACTTCATGTTTGCACAACTTTTTGGCATCTCGCAGTGATCGCCAATCAGAAGGTTTATGTTTCGAAAGCAGGATGGCAGAGCGGATCAAAAGTAGACCTGCAAAGCTGCATCGATTGAGTAATGAACTGCGAACGATAGTTGTTGTTCTCATCCCTGTGAAATCATAAGAACCATTGGAAATTGTTCTTGCTACTGAATGTCGGTCGGTTTTTAGCAGTCACGGAGGACAATGATGGCCAGAAACGACCTGTTGCAATCGTCATGGATTCCTTTCAACAGAGCGGCCGACAAGAATGGAAGGCATTGCGCACATTTTTGTGGTATGAATACCTCAACGAGGCAGACAAAGCAGGGGTGTTGACTACCGAGACCGTGGACATGTCGTGGGTGACATGCAGAGATCTACTTGGATCTAACATAGTATATGCGGAATGTTCGCAACAGACCAATACGCCAGACTGTGGTGTTTACGTTTGTTGCTTGGCAGCACAATTGATGCGAAAGCTAGCAAACAAGGCCAACGGAACGAACATAACCGCAAAATATATAACAGAAGTCGTTAGCGCGATGGAGGTCAACGAACGAACGGTCGAGAGATTTCGTCACTCGATGGTACAGCGCTTTGCGCAGTGCACTGCAATGGCAAAAGGATATAACACCGGAGCAGCGTGTGACATAGAAAATGTCTTCAAAGATCTCATAGACGGAACACGGAGTGGAAGTTCGTAATTACAAGGGCATGATAGAAACCCGGCATTGAAACACAAAGTTGACAACCGCGTGCAATTATACRAAATTCACATGTCGTAGAGAAGCCAATCGGCACGCGGTAGCCAACTTGTGCATGTTACTTAATGGCTGAATGCGTGATGTATCATAGAAAAAAAGTGTCATCTTTCATGTCAGAACGACAAAAAACGTTTGTCTCTCTCTCTCTCTCTCTCTCTCTCTCTCTCTCTCTCTCTCTCTCTCTCTCTCTCTCTCTCTCTCTCCCTACGTGTGAAAATGTCGCGTATGCTGGCATCGGATGACAAATGGTCGTTTCATGTGCCAAAATCATTCCATGTGTAACGTGAGTGTTTGTGAATTCGTGGATATCAGAATCATTTCATAAGGCTGAAGAGAATGGCTCCGAAGCCAAGGTACGAGGATCTGTGCAAGTCCTTGAAGTCCACGGGGAGGAGAAAGAAGGGGGAGAGGGCAGCAAAGGAAGACAAGAAGGCAGTCAAGCAAAGACATAGCATAAGGGATATTCCCTAATTGAAGAGACAGGAGACGAACACAGTCCGCGGGACACAAGCAGTGCTCTCTGTCCCGTCGCGGAAAAAGCAGACAAGAAAACTGGTCGAACACAACAAAACACCTGTCGCGAGTCTCATGCGGTGGAAGAGACACGGCGACAGTGAGAGGCAGCCCCCAAGAGCGCCAGAGAAGAACAGACGACATGAAAAAACACAACTGCAACAACATAGGACAAAGAAGAGAATAATTTACAGAAAAGACAGGACTCCTGAAGCAATCAACCTCAGAGGGTCACACGATTTACGAACCACCGCTCAGGAGGAAGGCGAAGAAGAAAACACCGACGAAGAAATGTCAGAAGAAGWAGAACATGAGAGAACGCAGGAAGGAGGAGAAGGTGACGAAAGTGATGCAAAGGAGAGCAATCCGGAGGGAGACAGCAACGGCGAGAACACGGACAGATCCGAGGAGGGCGAAGAGGAAGAGGAAGGCAACAGTGAAGACGAAGAAAGAGAGATTACATCTGCTGAGAACAGTGCGAAATGCGGAAGTGATGAAAAAATGGCAGGCGCACTAG